CAAAGGAATACGAGGATTGGCGAAACTGGAAATACCAGACATTGTCGGAGGTGTTGGAAGAATTCCCTTCTGTGAAACCCCCGGCTTCCTTGGTTATCAAACTATTGCCAAATTTGCAACCGAGATTCTACTCCATTTCTTCGTCTCAAGCAGTTCATCCTAAAGAAATACACCTCACTGTCGGGATCGTGATTTACAAAACACAAGGTAAATTCGAAGCGGGAAGGCTAAAAATATTGTAAAAGCTTGAAAGAAATTGCCAAAAAATGTGTGTCATATTATGGTCAACCAAAAATCCTGACATCCATGCAAGAAAATACATTTTTCGTCTGGAAAATGAAGTGGAGCAATTTTGAGGGTTTCCGGAGAATGAGAAATGGAAGAATGTTATTTCTAGCTCTCGAATTTCATAACCAAGCCAAATCCTCGAAACATTCATTTTCTTTGGTTCTGTAGTAGCTAATGGTTTAGTGGGGATCAACTTTTACCTCCTTCATTGAATGTTGAATTAATAAAATTATGAGTTCGAACTTTTGCTCACAGGTGGCGAAGGACCGAAGCATTTTGGAGTCTGTTCCACTTATTTGCAAAATGCTCCCCGAGGCGAAACAATCCCAGCTTTCATCCGATAGTAAGCAATTCGCACGCGAAATTTTCATTTTCGTTTCAACCGTTATTCGTGAAAATTGGTTTCTTTCTCGCCAAAAAGTGCCCCAACTTTTAGAATGCCAGCTGATCCAGAGAAACCCGTTATAATGGTCGGTGCTGGAACTGGAATTGCGCCGTTCCGGAGCTTCTGGCAACAAAGACAAGCTGAAATCAACACTTCAAGTATGAATGGAATGTTTTTATTTTATCTGCTCAAATTTGAGGTTTCAATCGTTCTCCTCGCGTGTGTTTCGAAGGAGCTGATCAGAGATTTGGATCGATGGCGTTATATTTCGGCTGTCGTTTCAAAGCGTGGGATGTTTATGACGACGAGAAAACAGCGTTAGCGAACAACGGTGTGCTAGCGGAGCGACATCTAGGTCTTTCTCGAGAACCTGGTATCCCAAAGGTACCGTACATTCGTGAGGTGGTATCACGAATGTTTTTCAGGCTGCAGACAACCGGCTTCAGCGAACAATCGAATCATTGTTCATGAAAATTTTTGTTGCAAATTACTCATTTGATAAATAATCTTCCTGCATGGAATTCAAATTTTTAATTTTTTGAATAGGAAATAGTATGAGTCTGCTTTCTTTTTTGAAGACGCGCCCGTCTTCAACTGTAATATATTGTATCTGTTCGGGCATGTTTTTTTCGAAAGTTGAAATCTATTCCAACGAAAACTTAATTTCTTAGTACAGTAACACTTTTTGAGAGATGTCAGGTTTTAAAAATTTAAAAAAGTCAGTTCTCTTGCAACTTTTTGCAGAGGTAGACATTTCTTTCACAATAATGCATATTCCCACGAGGCAACGACACTACCGTAATATCGAATGAATATTTAAAAGAAGCTCACATTTGAAAATAAATCGTTAAAACAATGATTTGAGGCTAAAGGTGCTTTTTCCTCACTTCTGTTCGTGAATTTATTGTTTTCGCAAAATCGAGTTGAAATTTTGTTTTTAAATGGGAGTAGTTATTCGGAAGATTGTGATTCACAATTTTGCGTTGCCATAAAAGTTTATCACCAGGGTACTCGACATATTAAACGCATTCCTTGTATGCTGGTACATGTCAAATAATCTTCACCTTCAGAACCCACATTCGGGAGCGAAGAAAATATTGAGTCTCTCAAAGTCAGAAAAAAAAACATGCAGAATTTCAATTATTTTTCTGACTGCATCCAAACGTCGAAAGAAAAATTTTCGAATTTCATCATTGCATATTTTATTATGCAGTTTGTTTTTGAATTCACTTGTCTTTGAATGTTCCAGAAATATGTCCAGGATC